TTTGTCAAACTCAAGAGCTCCCCAACCCATCTGTAGCAAGCCTTCTTGGGCCTTGGTAGGAAAAGCCTTCGATCACGAGCCCAGGCTGCTATGGGGCCACGTGCTGCCGGGCCAGCATCTCGAATTACTGCTTCAGCTTGAGGCGCGTGCGCGCGCGAGTTGGGGCGCGGTGCAGGTGCAAGCAGTCCAACAGTTGCAGCCGAAGAGTTCCCCCTACCCGAAAAGCCTCAACCCCAGAAACTTCTGGGCTAGACATATCTTACTGTTGTAAAAATGGGTATACGCCCCGTGTTCCTTGGTACTGGTTTGGGGCTGGGATCCCTTTGGCGACAGAATTAGGTTGTTCATTGTTGTGTATTTTTCAGACTTGTTGGATGTGCTTAGCTTTTGCTTGGATGTGATTGCTTGCTTTGTGTCGAGCACGGAGCAAAGGCAGTTCATTCCAAATACTGCCCCTAAACGGAGTGGTGGGGTTTCCATGGTTTTCCTGTGGAAGCAGCCTGGTGGGTTAGTCCCACCAATGTTCATACATTCATCCCCTGCTGGGCTTGGGCCATTTGCGCCATTTCCATCTCGGCTTCCCTTGTCATTTTTATTCGGGGGCATGCAACCCTACTTATTGTTTGCCCAAAGCTGACAGTCGAACCTGGTGTTTTGCCCAAAGCTGACAGTTGATCAACTGCTATTTCGTGGTGATTGACGGAAAAGAACCTCAATAGCACGTATTTGCAGAAGAGTCTCCTTTGCCACTAGAAGGCTGACTGTGTCGTTTTTTGTGGCCATGAATCGGGAAGCTCAGTGGCCGAAAGCCTGCGTGTTTGACCTGGTTTCAGTCTGTGGTGAATTACTTTCAGGCATGTCAGCCCAAACTACACCTTTGATTTTGAGGTGGTTTGGGCCGAAGCTGAGCCACTCTTGAAACGATCTGGATGATGCTTGCCTTTGGTTTGCCCCAAGTAGATCTGTAGAAGAAGAGGCTGGGCGCCCATGTCCCCACAATATCTCCGTTTTGTTTCCCCACAGCTTCTTTTCGACGGTGAGTTGGGGGAAGCCATGGAAAGCAAACTCCTTTTATTTCTGGGTTGTTGCGTCTACCATTGCCCTCAGAAAGCGCGTTGCCCAACAACTGCCTACTGCAGCTCGGAACTGAGGGTCCTTTTTGCTTCCGGTGATTTTTTTGTTTGTCGGATGCTACCGCCCAGATTCGAGCGATTGGGGGGGGCACCCTAGAATACTGACAGCAGATATATTATGTATGTTTTTTTTTTTTGTTTTTTTTTTTGTGTTTGCATTGATTTGCTTTTCCAAAACACAATTTATGTTAAAGTATCTGACATTACGCACTTTTTCTGTTTAGTCAGATTTGTTTAGGTATGGTAATGATAGGAGAGGGTGGGTGGGTGGGGGGACTGGGAAGGACAATGACCGTCGCCTCGCTTTACAGGTGCCCAACCGCGGCAAGGGCGACGGCAGCGACGTGATGCGCAACGCTGCTCGATTGATTTTGTGTTGAGCTGGGTCGTTATTTTGACGGTTTCTGGGGTTAGCAAAGTCAGAAAATGTAGTTGTTTCCCTTTAACCCACCACTTAGGGGGTGACTTTGATCATGGTAAAACAATGAGACCAGTTGAGTTGAGCGCGTTAGAGGGGAAGCCAGGAACCGAGGGCTCCAAACAGGAGCTGTTCCAAAGCGCATGGCGTTAGCTTTGGTGCATTTTGCTTGGATGTTAAGACTTTAACTTTTTGCCAACAGATGGGTTTTCCATTAAACCACTAAAAGTTAAACTTTTAGCAGGGGGGCAGAAAGCAATCAAGTTAGCATCATGTCGATGGTTCGCCGTTTGGCCAGTATTGTTACCATTGTGTCAATGGTTCGCCTTTTGCCTTTCAGCATTCCATAAAGCTGATTGAAACGCGGATTTTCGCTCAAGCAGATGAACAACCCGGGCGCAAAAGATTCACTTCGCATGGCCCTTAGCTCATAAGCACATGTGGGGTTTTGCGCAAGATACCGTTGGCATTGCCTTTGCCTTGTTTTTCCATTTGCTCAACCTAGATGTGGGTGCTGGTGGACGGGCGCACGGATGAGCCCTTCGGGCCTTTGCTGGTGGCAGAGGCTGGGTACCCAAAGCGCCTGGGAGCGGAGGTGAAGATGTCCTGAAAACCCAACCAAGTGGCCGTGTATCATATTTGTGGCGCTTGACAGTGACAGGGCAAATAGGCGCAGGACAAGTAGTTATTGCCAACTTCAGGGATCATGATATGTGCTTTGGTACTTCTTTACCCCTTTCTTCTTTTTTTTTTGAGGGGGGGGTACACCTTGGACATCAGGATTTGATCCGACTCATTTGAGGCTTCAAGCCAGCCCTCCAACTTAGGGTTCAGACATGCCCAGATACACATTCGTTGGCTTGCTGGACGGCACTGCATTGCTGTCTGGATCTTCACTCGGGCTCGCGAATTTCTGGGTGACGTGGGACAAGTCCCTCCAGTGGATTCTGATTGGCCCCGCATGTCACGTTGGCTGACACGGGCGTGCGTGTACACGCCTGAAAGAAGAAAGATCGCCACCTCAACCCAGTGATTTTCTACAGGCGTTTACCTCTAACCCTGAGAGCTCATGAACTTGTTTGCTTTTAATGGGGTTACGCTTCTTGCCTGAAATTGAGATTGCGAACGGCAACCTGGGTAGCAATCATTATCTTCACTCCGGAGTTGGTGTACTCGTGCAAGGGTCAATAAAACAACTTCTCAAGAGCTTTGGCACCCGCACAAATGCCGGCAGAGCGAGGATACAATTGACATTTGACTTGTGGCTGAAGAGTAGCATACAATCAATATCGATATATTCATTCATATATTATATACACACACATAAATGCACGTATTTGGTGATATACACTGATATTCATTCACGAAACGATGTAGCGACAACGGATCGGGCATTTTGGGAATCGGTATGTTGCTTATAATGGGCCTTCCTTTGGAGAGAAAAACAGCGTGCAAGCCACCCTTGAGATTTGGAGGACAAAGTATGACGGAGTCAGTTGCTGAAGACCTTGCAGAAGGATGCAGGTGCACATGGCCAGGTGAGCTTCTTCGATTGAGTGCTCGTGGGCACGCCTGGCGCACAATTCGCTCTTCGAGCTGCGCAGGAGGCATGAATGTAGAAGCTTTAACCCTTTATAGTTGATTCGGGCGTGACCCAGGTCTTGAGCTCTGGCCGCCCAAAAGAAACATGCTTTGGAGCCTGCACCTCCGGCTTGCAGTTCGCGCGATCGGGCCCACCGCTGAGCCGGGGAGGATCTGGGGTCATGACGCTCGCGGGGTGGCCCATTTGTTGGGTTGTGTCCGGTTCTGCTGAATTCTTGATTCCGAGCGCGAGCGCCAGAGACCACAGGAAGGAGAGGCTGCCATTGCATTGCTGTTATTATTTCGTCCCAGGACCCATGGCTTTACACGCCAGTTGTTCACCAACAAGAGGCACCGCTGTTGTCAGAACCTGAATTGGGGGGGTGACTCCGCTGGATTGAAATTTGCACTTCGATGTGTCCTTTTCGAAGGTGAGATTAGATGCATTTTGGGACCTAATCTAAGCCCCGCCATGAATCCCATGAATGTATGGTGGATTCGGGGTGCACGGGCGTTGCCCCGCCTTTATTTGGATTATCCGATGAGATTTGCCAAGCTGTACGCGAGCTCCCCCGACCTCCTGATTGGCTCGCGTGGGCGGCGCTGGGCGCTCACAGAGTTGGGATGTTTTGCCAGGCCATGCGGTTGGTATGCTTCTCCCGTTGCAATCTGCTTTGAATGTCCCTTTGCATCCCCACAGTTGGGACCACCACTGGCCTGGCGCTACATGACACTGAACATTTCAGGCACACCTTTGGTCGACTAGTCCCAGTGCCCATGCCTGCCTGAAGAGCTCATAGGAGCTCCGCATTTCTTCATGTAAATGTCTCACCACCTGGAGGCTACATTGAAGAGTAGCCGGTGTAGCCCTAGAGTGATTTCGATCATGTGGTTTGTTGGGAAGTTCCCCAACTTGAAAGAGGCAAGCAAGGGCTTGCTTGCAGACACTGGAGTGAGCATGAAGCCTGAGACACATGATCCGGTGATTTTGCTAGCACAAGCCAATGCAAGCCGTGTAGTTTCAGATGTGTCACCCCACGAGAGTGCTCAAAGGGGCGCATGGCTAGAGAGTTTGAGCCCACAGTGCTTGACCGTCGAAACTTGCTGCGGCTCGCAAAGGGTCACTGTCCGGTTGACCCCAGATTCACCACGCGTTTCCAACTGAAAGCCAAGGGTCGCCTCCAAATTGGCACATCCCCCACTTGACGACTCTCTTGGGTGGAAAGCAACATCCCCTCCCGGTCAGACATCCGGGCGGATTATTGAAGACCAAACATCCCCTTAGCTTTCGGGCAGCGGGTGCAGGTTGCCAGCGCAGCCTGTGCCTTTGCCTCATGATGTGGGGGTTCTTGGTATGTTTTTCTTTTGTTGATGTGTGACCAGTTGGGCCATGGTTTGAGGTCCCTATTTTTGACGGACGCATCATGGCACAACTGAGCTCTCAAGTTGGCGTATTCTTTTGGAGGGTGAACGGTGACATAGGTGAGTACAGACGAGGTGGACAATGCATGACGTTCCGTCCAGCAAAAGGTGCAGGATGTGTATTTTGTGTCGAATCGTTTCGACTAGCGGGGCTGGAATCATGCAACAGAGAAGGAATAGAGAAGGAGTGCTAAGCCTATGCCAATGCAGCGGAGTTGCTGCTGCATTCCACTACTGGTACTTGCATAAGGGGTATTGTGTGGATGTGGACTGAGTAGGTATTAAACGTGCAACTGGGCGTGAGGGTCCCTCATTTTTTGGCCCAACTACGCTGCTCCTGGCATGTTCTGTCATCGAGTTGCTTGTTTCTTTGGTTCATTGTGGGGCTTGCAACCACCTATTTCCCTGCCATTGGGAAGCCGCATCAAAGCGCAGTCGCATTGCAGGTGGCCACAGACAGCCCAGCAGCGAACCTAGGCGGGCGAGTCAGCTAAGCAGTGATGGCAATTTTGTTGCGTCGGCTGAAGGAGCTGTTCCGGTTGCCCAGCAGGTATCCACAAGGCATTGTTTATTCAAGTCAGCCCCCTGATTTGACACTTGAGAAAGTCAACCAGCATGATGCCCTTGGCTCCTGTCCTCATTGAAAGAGCTATCCTATTATTTGGAGTTAAACTGGCATCATTCCCCTGAACTTACTTGGAAGAAGGACTTTGAACATTCCGAAAGCTGGCCTCGAAGAGGCTTTGCTCGAGGTTTGTTTTGGGGGAGAGGGGACGGTGGCAAGACTGCGGCAGAAAAGTGGGTGTGAAAGTGGGTGTGACGGTGGACAAATTATAGTGGTGGACGGTAGCTGGTCCGCTGGATTGGTTTTCCCTGCTGCCGCTGCCCATTGTTTGTTGGCACGCGTTGCCACCTGTTTGGAATTGACTGCTTGGCACCGGGCCCGCGTTTTTGATTGCCCCCGTTCTGAGGACCCTAGTCAACTGGTTTACCGTTTTGTCCCACCTTTTGGTTGAACGGATTTCCTTTCAAAGTTACCCAGCACAAGCGGGTTGCCTTCTTCCAGGGCTTCCCCCAAACCCATCCCTACAGCATTGGAGTTAGGCCCTGCAAAAAGAAAACAGCGATCGCATTGTGCGGTTCACATTTGGCCGCCTTTAAGGTGTAACATGTATCCTAAAAGGTCCTAACACTATGTTAATAAGCGTGCTACAAGGCCGTGACTCTTTTCAAAGCTTCCATCATCCATAATATATTGGGTTGTGCCTGCGGCCGACAAGCGATGGGCAATCATGCTACCCCTGAGTTACTAAGCCAATCAGGCGAGTTACAGGAACTCCTTCTGGCCTGCACGTACACGGGCTCCGTCTCTATCTCTCTCTCTCTCTCCCTTTCTCTCTTCCGAAGTACCAAACGGAATCTAGGGACTTCAGCACGTTCGGATTCAGCCGAACTGCGCAGATTAGGGCAATCAAAGATTTCCCCAACTATCCCAGAACAAACCCCAAACAAGAAATATAACTGCTAAGCCTTATTGAATGCGCCTCCTACCCGTAATTCCCCCAAAGTTTGTCTTATTCGATTGGGGTATGTTCTGGGGCGGCAGACACTGCTTAAAATGACCTCGGGCGTGCCGGCCATGCAAATTCAGGAAGGAGGCACAAGTGTCAATGGACCAGCGAAGATAGCTCTCCGGGAACCTAATCCCCTTGCCCACCTTATGGTTGGCAAGGTTGTAGAGGATCTTGGATGACCATGCTGACCAGACTCTAAACTCCAGAGCTCGCCAGCTCGTGGTTGTGGTGATGCAGGTCGTGGTTGATTTGCGAGATGGTGTCAATGGAAGACTGGCCTTGCAAGGGCCTACATTCCGTTTGTGAGCTGGTCAAACTAGTTTTCCAAACGGACTGTAGGAACCTGGTGGTTTCTGAAAATATGCCGCGTAAGATGCCAATCGCATATTATGTTTGGAGCAACCATTGATTTCTGCACATATTTATACACATGCATACCAAGTATGTCTATGTGAATATGTACATATACATAAAGTGCCCATAAAAGTCGTCAGGCTCCTCCCTGGCGCTGAATGCGGCCCTGGCGGCGCTGCAGCTGGAGGCAAACCGCTTGTTTGGTTTGGCGGAATGGCACCTGGTAATTAGTCGGGAAGGCCATGGGCAGGAAATCATTGGCTTGAGCGTGTTGGAACAAAGGGGTTGCCCAACCCACAACTTGTTTCTCTTCTTATTTTTTGGGGGGGGGGAGTGCCTTTGGAGGGGGGAGACGGGTGTTTAGAGTGAGCTCATGGCAATAACTGAACTCTTAGGGCCTGATTAGGGCGTGTCCCAAACTTATCCTTGGATGCATCACTGAATCATTCACGGATTGCCTGAGCCGAGGTAGGATTTGCCGTTTGCCCTTTCCGAAAGTTGGAGACCCGCTAAGGGGGCCAACTGGCAAGCCCGACGCAAAGATCCCCGCAACGTCCCCTTCGGACTAACCGTAGACCGAAACTAGGGACGGGGCTCTCGACCTGGCATGTGGTGCCAAGCCACACCCCAACCAGCTCCAAAACATGACAAGGCCTCTTCAGCACTGGGGCGCGATTTTTTGGATTGCCCCTTTCCGCCTGATGTTTGTTGTTTTGTGTTTATTTTCCCATTGTGTTGTGTGTTTGTTATCTTTTTGATTGCCTCATCCACCTGCCCCTTTTGGCTTTGGGCCAATCCATCAAAGCCTCAGGACTGGGAGGCGGCGGAGGGCTTCTGCAGCCGCGCGCTGCGCTGGAAGTCCAGCGCTAAGGCCGGAGACCTGAGTTGTCACATGGGGGACCCCAGGTGAGGGTTCCAGCTTCGTGGTTCTACTCGCTTGTTCGGTGGCTAACAATTCCATGTTTGTGCAGCCCGGGTTCATTGAGCCAGGGGCCTGGAGTGGGGTTAGGATATTTTGTTGCTTTTCAAGTTGTCATGGAATTTTGTTTAAGGACAACCGGCTAGAGGCCTGTCCGCCTTCAGCAAGTCTCTTGGAACAGAAAGGTTGCCCTGGCAGGCTGGCCAAACTTCCTCACTGTTTGTGATCTATGTGTTTGCGTTTAGTTTGCGTGGTTCTGTTTGTTGTTGGTTGGTACCGGCAAGCGGCCAAAAGTTGTTTTGCTCACATCTCAAGGGCTACAAAGCTGTCATGGATCCGTGATGGGCCAGTGGGTGCAAGTCCTCGTGGTGAAGCCTCTGCTCTTGTGTAAGGACTCGACAAGTTTTCGTTTTGAGTCCTTTGCTCTTGTGACTGGCTCCATAGACCGCTCAATGTCAATGATTCCACGCCATCCGTTGAGTTTCACAGCCATAGCCCTGTGGCGACGGATTCCATCGAACACCAACGGCGCAACCAGCGTCGAGCCCTGTGGTCGGCCAGGCCTTCTACCGCCGGGGCTTGGCGCGGGTGCACTTGGGCGCCCGAGGCCTCAGCGGAACAGCGAGCGCCATGGGCGTGTCGGAGCTTGGAGCCCAGTTTTGTAGGGGCTTTGGGCAAACAAGACCGACACAAGGTGAAAAGTGTAGATCTGTCACTCTTCATTTGTAACATTTTGGAACCACGCCAGCAAGACGTGATTCACTGTGACACTTCGACCGCCCACTTCCTGAGTGTTTGGGCCCAAACCGTTCTTGAGAAGAAGGACAAGTTGGACTGTGATGTCATATTATGTTGAGGGTGCTCCTTTGCATGGCCAGACTTAGGACCCGTGCAAAAAGTTGCCTTTCTATGGTGAAAAGGCAAAAAGTAGGAAACCCAAAAGGGTGAAAAGGATTTAAAAGGATTTAAAAGGATTTAAAAGGATGTAACAGGATTCAGAAGGGTGAAAGGGTAAAGGGTTGAATAAGACGGGCACCGGTTGGTGTTTTTTGGGAAACCGATGACTTGTTGCTCATTTACTTTGACTCTAAGCCTCGTGGCAGAAATTCTTCAGAAAACATGCGTTCCCTAGGTGGTATGACTGCATGGTTTTCAGTACATTGACATGGTTTCTATGTGTTGTAGATCCAGTTTCATCCTACCCAACAATACCCAACATCAACTGTTGCATAGCGAATCTCAGCTGACCTGGCCCAGTTTATGGCGGACGCCAAGCGAGACTTCAATTTCGCGCTGGAGTGCGGGCCCTGGAGTCAAAGGCACGACCTTTTAGGGGGGCTGGGTGGGATGAGGGGAATTGGTTGCCCGTTGACCGAAATCCCCTTTTATCCCTGTAGGAAGGCAGGAGGGGCTGTCTCCTTTCTTTGGGCGCTATTGAATGGATCGAGAAGGCCACCTGGAGCTTCACCTCCAGTCCGCCTCCCACGTTCCCTGAGCGCGGTGCTGAACTCCTCGGCGGCAGAAGCTGGCGCTTCGTGGCTCGGATTGGCCCGGCCTCGAGACCGACCCAGTGCCGCTTGGAGGAGTTCCCCCTTTGGAAAATTCGGAGTGCGTCTCAAGCAAGACCGCAGTCCAACGTCATGCAGAAACAGATCACTGGATAGCACAGACAGCGAGACTTGTCTTGTTGGACTGGGAAGGGAGGATCCCTGTCCAAACTTCAAGGTTTGAGATCTGGAAGATGGACGCCAATTGAAATACAAAAGCCAAGTGTGTGGCATGGGCACTCAGCATGACCTGCTGCTTGCCAGACCTCCAGTTGCTCAAAATGCCACCGGCTCAAAAAGTGTTCATGCTTGCAGGATGCCACAGCTTATGGGATCTATCCTCATAACCGCAGGGACCGCGACAGTTTGAGCAGTTGCCAAGGTCTCACGTACACACAGGTTCCCAACTTCCAGGCTTTTTGCTGCCCTCCAAGCTAGGTGGGAAGATGCCCTGGGCGATCCCACTCCCTTACAACCCTTGATTGTCAAAGGGTGGGCTTGAGGACTGGACGCACCATTTGTAATTCGATTGTCCAATCCAAGATAATTTAAGGGGAAGACTAGACAAGTGACATTGGGGCTTAGCCGCTGCATGCAACCATTCTGCCACAGTTTGCGCAACCTGTTGAAAAATGGGCCGGACGCACCCACCCCAGTCAAAGCGGAAACGCTTAAACAGGCAACCAAAACACACTCCCTCCTTGTAAAAAGCGCTTGATGTAGCGAAGCGCGCCCGAGCAAGCAACAGATGTAGCGAAGCGCGCCGAGCAAGCAACAGAGATGTACTGAAGCAGACTTAGCTTCAACCAGGTGTAAACAACAGTCAACCACCAAACAACAAGACCTGCCCAACTGCTCCTGTGTTCTTGTAGCCCTCTGGGCCCAATGGAAGCATTCCAACACCAAAGAGGTGGCGGTGCTATCCGGTCTCTCCCAGGTCCGAACCGCGGGGCTCTGCAGCAGCGAGGCGGAAGTTTTGGTTTTGCTCATCTTGGACTGCAAAGGCAAGACTCTTTGCCAAGGCTTCAACAACTAGACATGCGGCAAGACCATCCCGCTTCTCAAATTGGTTTCATTGAAGGAAAGGCGGCTTTTTTTGCGGGGACGTGTCTCGCAACATGGAATGGAAGGGGCTTGCGGTTGGTTTGCTTTGGGAGGGGTCCCCTTTCAATCCAAGGCACACACACACACACCGGTCTCTTTGGAGCATTTGGTGCCTGGCAAAGTTCTGGACCAAGGTTTGCTGCGGACACTCCTGTGAAGTCCTGGTTCTCGATTCTTGGCCCCTGCGAGCTTTCAAGCGCTTCTCTTTTGGGCTGGAAGCTTTTGGTGGCCCTTTTGTTATGTAGGGGAGTCTGGAGATGTTGGTTCTTGGTTCTTGGCCAGGGGCCCAAGCTGTGCAAGTTTCACGTGCCTGTAACTTAGCTCATGTTTGATTCCCGGAACTTTGAAAAAAACATCTTGCTTTTGAGACATGCTGCGATGCAGGCAGGAACCTCACCTTGACTTGGTTTTCTAGTTTCTAGTAAAGGCCCGCCTTTGTTTTCAGTAGAATTATGTTCGTTCAACGGCTGCCCCCTTTAGCAAGATGGTGACCGAATTCCGGCCCGGTGGCAAACACTGGTTAGTTGAGTGAGAGGCCAAACGGGGCCAGCCTTTGCATCCAAACTTCGACGATCCGCAGGCAGGTTCAACTGGAGCTGGACAAGCTCGCCCACAGGGATGGGGCGGCCCGCGCCCCAGCTTGGAGTCCTTGAGAATCGGCTGAACCTTTTGGTCGGAGGTGGTTGCTTAAACACTTTGTGCTGTCATGTTCCTTGTTGGCAACTATGTTTGCGCTTTTGCGGCTTTTTGGCTGTCTCAGCCCCTTCAGGATACCTTTCATGGTTCGGATCGGTGGTTTGGCGATTTGAACTCCTGGCTTTTGTGAGGATTGGAGCCCGCAGGTAAGACAACTTGGAGCGCCCTTGGTTTCCTGGGCATCTGAGAATCCCTGTCAGCTCGCTCCAAATTTTGCCTTTCGAATCCTGTGGGATGTTCCCACAGCTTGTCATGGGGCCAACCGATTGATTTGTTGTCCAACCGCTTTGACCGGGCACCGGCATGCAAATGAGACATGCCTGAGAGGTTTTCCCCGCATTGGGCGTTGGTGGCTGCGCCGCGTAGGCCGGCCTGGAGGCGCCGCCGGGTGCTGCCGGGCGGCTCAGCGACTTCAGAGACTTCAGAGACCCGGGAGCTGAATTGGTGAAGCGTTTGGTTCAAAAAACGATTTGAGCAAGTTGCACCTTTTGTTTGAACCCATTGCGGTACAGGGATTGTGCCCGACAGCCCTGAAGGCAAACCCTGGAATTCACCATATTCAGTTGCCCAGTGGCTTTGTCCTTTTTGTAAGGGTTCCCGTTGAAGACCTTAATAGCAGCGTTTGTATTTCGTGGCCGGGCAAGTATGAGCATGCCTGGGACAAGCAGGCGTTGCCCTGTATTGTTTTTTTTGCTGCTCTTTGGTGGGACCTGAGCATGTTTTTTCTGGCTGGACACGTTGGTGTTGGCCCACCAGCCAGAAAGGTGCAGTGGCCACCCAGCAGATATCCCCATCCCTTTTGAAATTGGACATGGGGGCCATGGAGTAGGGGCGGCCCTGGATTCTGTGTATTGTTCCGTTGTTCCTTTGCGGGGACTGCAGGCATTGAACGGTGGTCGCCCCCACCACCTTGTCGGGGACAAGTGGCCCGTTGGTTCTTGATTCACCGCCAGCAGCTTGTTTCAACTCTTCCTGGGCGGCAAAATTTCATGTTTGGTTGGCTCTTTCCAAAAAACACGGTGCATGAGCAGGCGTTGTGACGACCTGCACATTGTTACCGTTGGTTTCTGTTGGGAGCTTTCCGTGGCTTGTGCCCGCGTCAGCTTGCGATGCTTTCACCCTGCCAAACTGTATGTCCTGGACCGAAACGACTGCTGCTTGAGTTTGGGGTGTTTAGCCATGTTGGGGCGCAATCGTTCCACTCCATGGAATATTCCAAAGCTAAACGTTTGACCTTTTGGTTTTAATATTAGTCAAGGTTCCCGAAGGCTGACTTCTCTTTCTTCAGGATACCAATTTGGGGGTTGTGTTGAAGGGACATCTAGAGGACAACATCCATTTTAGGTTCCCCGATTTTGAGACACAACCAGGGTTTCTAGGGAAGTCTCCAAGCAGCTGAAATGAGCCAAGAGCCACTAGGGGGCGATCAACAACAAGAGGAAGGCTGCCATGAAAATTGAAGGAGAGGGCCCATTTCGTATTTCCCAAATAGACCAACCAGGATGGGCTGTTGTTGCTGTAAAGTCCCAGGCCGCAAATGGAATAGTCGCATTTCCCCTGGCAGGATCCTCAAGCAGCCAAGCGCTTTGAGGCGCAGAAGGGGGCACCACGCATGTGTCCTGTGTTTGTAATGGGTGCTCGTTGGGGTAGCCTGCGCGTTAGCTACAGATGAATGAACCTGGCGCGTCATTTGCATGTGTATCCGTTGTTGCCCGAATCATGGCTTGATATTAGCCTTGAACCTCTTTGGTGGTCCTTCCTGCCCTTTGCCCTGGCAAGAGCCCGTGACATGGACCGCTAGTATGATCCTTCTGATGGTTTGATTGCTCTTTGGTATCTTATGTGACCTGCAGCAGTTTGGGCAATAACAAAGTTGGCCAGCTGACTAGCCCAAAGCCAGCCCTGGTGAAAGCATGGACTTGACAAAACGGCGTGGAACATGGGCAAAGCACAGAACAAGGGAGCCAGGGATGAGAAGCGCCTGAAGAAACGCATGACCAGTTCAGTCTTGTTTTTGTTGTTATTTGCGGGGTTGTGTGAGCAATGCTTGCACAAAACTCACATACCCGCCCCTGCGCCCTAAGACAGATCCAGGCTCCTAGTAAAGAGAGGTCCTGAAAGCGCACATCTGCAATTCACCTGCAAAGACTGATTCTCTTGGTTGCCATGCCACGAAAATAAATAGACAAACAACCAGAGAACAAAAGGCCAAACCTGGCCAGCTCGTGCAAGCGGTAAGTGAGCAAATAGTAATTTGCCCAAACTGTTCCTTCACAGGCTTGAGGGGAAAGCAATGCCAAGAAGAGGCCAACGTTTGTTCTAACTTTTGCACTCGACTGGCTGCTTTTGGTTCTCCTCGGGCCCCACGTCGCTTCACCCCGGACAGGCTCAGTTAGGTGGCAAACCCTCCCCCACTGTCACACATTCAGAGGAATTGGGCCTGAAATTCGGTAGTTCAGTGTGGTCGCCATACAAGCTGTGTTTTTGCTGTGATTAGGGGACAGGGATGCTGTGCGCTTTCATGTTTGGTTCCGTTGGCGCAGTCTTTGAGCTATTGATTGCAGGGTTGTGCCAACGACCTATCTCAATATGTTTGAACTGCTCCACTGTCTAGGTACTTTCAATTAGGTGGCCCTTCAAAAGGATCATGGCAACAGATTGTTCCAGCAACCTTGCCCAACCTTGCTACACAACGGCTTCCAAATAAGGATGAACCAGGGCGACTCAGGCACAAGTTGGGCCCAAGATCAAGCACGCATTGCTACCAACCCCTCAATCCATTCTTTATTGTTTAAAGACGGGTGGTCAAACAACAGCTTTGCTTGCCAGCAATTTGGAGGAGACGGATCTTTGTATGCTGTGGATCTTGTTTAGTTCTGCCCCAAATTGCCAACTAGGGAGTTCCCCGCTGGAGAGAGCGCAAGCAAAAAACACAAGCCCTCAGAAACCCGCACAAGTGAGCCCAGTTGTTTGTGTCTGACCAGATCGCCAATGCGGCTAAGCAGCAGCAGGGCGTGCGACAGGTCGCCTCGGATTCGAATGGGGCCGAGATTTGTTCGATGGGTGGAAGGCATGAATGGGCTTGAGCTGTTTGTCTTGATTGTTTAGTTGTTTGCTTGCTTCCTGCCTTGCTTGCTTGCTAGCTTGCTTGCTAGCTTGCTAGCTAGCTTGCTAGTTTGTTATTTCCTGGCTTTCGCTTCCGAGAATGGTTTCCTGGATGTATTGCTTCATTAATTCTGTGATTGTTTTTGTTATTGCTTGCTTGTGTGTTTTGTTGCTTGCTCATGCCGGTTTGCTCTTCCAACTTGTCGTGCTATTTGCTGCGCAGTCTTGCGTGTTGTTATACATACTGTTTAAGCCGTGGTCTGCCTGTGTGTTCGTTTGTTAGATCATTTGTGTGTTCAGTGATGTGTTGTTCTTGTGTTTGTTTGTTTGTTTGTTTGATTGTTTGTTCGTGTGTTTGCTTTGTTGCTTGTGTTTGCATTGTCTGTGTTGTCTTTGCATGTTTGTGGTTTTTGATGTGTTGTGTTTTTTGTTTGTCTGTGTGTTTATTTGTGTGTGTGTGTGTGTTTGTTTTCCTGTCTGTTTGTTTGTTTGTTTGTTTGATTGATTGATTGATTGATTGATTTATTTATTTATTTATTGTTTGCTTGATGATTTGTTTGTTTGATCAGTGGTTTGCTTGTTCGCCTGTGTGCTTCTGTATTTGGGTGTTTACGTTTGGTTTGGTTTGGTCGGTTTGGCATGTTGCTTGTTTGTTTGCTTGTGCTCTGCACTGGTCATAAGTCTTAGGGCAACAACAAAGAAACACATGGGAAGGAATTGTTGAGTGCCTTCTTGTTACTTTGACCGCTTCTTAAAAACTGTTACCATGTCTTTCAACCCACCCCTATGAGCCTGTCTCACTGCCTCAGCGGATCGGTCAAACACAGTCCTGAGCCGTGGTGTCTGACCAACGACGTGAGATGTTGATTCTTGACCTTGTGGATGAAGAGTGGGCCAACATGTGCGCAAAACAAGTCTAGGACACATCAGACAACAACTTCTTTCAGGGTAATTTGGTTGTTGTGTAATTTGGTTGTTGTGCATTGCTAGTTGAGGCCAGGAACAAATGCCTTTTAGGCGTTGAAGAACACTTGCAACTCTTTTCGGAACCGCCGTGTGCTCGCACATCCGGATGAGTGTCTATGATATTGTTCGACTGGGGAATGCCACCAGCATGCCGTTGGGGACAAGGAGAAGTGTTGCGCCGAAAAGCTTGGTAAGGCTCACGGGGGGGGTGGTAGGCTGTTTCGCTATGGACGCTGTGTTCCATTGAATCCATATTCCATAGCATTCCATAGTACACGGTTCATATTTCCCTACTCCAGAGGCCCTTCTGTGAAGCCGAGCGCGCCGCCAGATCACTTGGAGTGAATGGTCCAGTACGCAGCAGCGAGTTGCCGCGCCCCTGGGCGACCAGCCAAGGCGCTGCCCTTGTGGGGCCAGGCCGTCCGGCCTGGGCCCTTTGCATGAATCGGATTCGAACTGGCCAGCACTCCATTTTGAACACCCAGGTTTGGCATGAATTTGTTGTTGGGCTCGAGCTCCTGTTAATCTTTGCAAGTCTGTTTTTTCACCCACATGCTGAGGGCGGAGAAGGTACTGGGGCACTACTTCAAGGGCACAAAGGATGCGTGTTTGCGGATATTATGGAGCAACCAATGTTTGAACTATGCGTACATTCGTACAAATATAGCCACACATGGAATATAGGAGATGGCGTAATGGCGTAATGATGATCCACGGAAGCTGCACCAGTCGTATTATTTATTCTGAAACAAAGAGACACGTAATCTATACATAATGAAACGAGCGCTCCTAGCAGAAAACAAGCTCAGGGCCCTAGACACAAATACTCAGAACAAAGGCAGTGAACATTCACGCGGGGAGTACTTGCAAGGGTTCTGGTTTGCGACTAGGCTGCGTCGACGGTCCCTTTCACAAGCTGTTTTTTTTTTTTTTTTTTTTTTTTTTTTTGGTGTGTCAAAGCTAAGCATTTCGAGTTCAATTGAACGAACCCTACAGCTTCAATGTGTTCGGTGTACTTTGGATGAGTTGAACTTGGTTCACCAAAACCAGACCCAGCAACTGAATAGCAAGCAGTTGCATTTAGTTATTTAGGTGGTTTGAGAAATGCAAAGTACCCAGGCAAAAGCACAAACTATCAAGTAAGCCCTGGTTCTTGGAAAGGGTGAATGGGAAATCACCCGTCCAAACCACCAATCCAAGCCACCAAGAGGGAAGCTGAATCCCCGTACCCCTACTTGGTGGTTCGGATGTTGGGGGGTACCTTTCCCATTTGGTTTCAAGTTCCACCAATCCAAGCACCAATTGAGGAGCCTAACCAAACACGAACACCCAGCGAACTGAGACATCCATGTCACCCGAGGCAGAGGCCACGGTGAAGGCCAAAGCCTGGCGGAAGCGCCTGGCAGAGGCAAGATGTGACGACTTGAGTTTGGAGAAGCCTCGAGACAGATTTATTGCATGTTCAGATCGCGTCTATGAACCCTTCAAGCGCCCCACTGCCATCGGTTTTGGCAAAAGATCACACCATGCAACATCAATCCCATGCTATTGCAGGTGAGAAACAGTTTGTAGAGCACAGCTCGTAAAATGTGCCGGTTACGGGAAGTGGGCGCTGGTTGTGGACCATATTTCAACTCATTGTTTGGTTCCGATGCAGCTGACCGTGTCCCATAGGCGTCAATCTTAGGCCTGGCTGGTGAACAAATGTGTTTGCAATCAGGCTTTCGTGTTTTTGTCTTGTGTTGGCCGTGGCGGGGAGGGGGGGGGGAACATCACCTGGACATGATGATCGACTTTCTCTTGGGGTGATTTTCAAAGGGGACCAGAAAAGGAACCCTCAGGTGGTAGTTGCTTTTAATTAGTCTGTTTGATTCCAGGATTCCAAAGACGGAAAATTGGGGAGGCGCAGCTTGATTGTGGATTTGGTTGTGTTTCAGCTGACTTCTCAGACAGATGCCAACCAAACCAGTCCCCAAGTTGAGTTGGCAACACTTGAAACTGTTGTGATATTGAAGGAGGTTGGGCGCCACCAGGGCTTTTTGTGGGTTGCTTTGTTCGGGCTGTAGGCTTTAGGGCCCGGGTTGGGCAAAGTTTGAAACAAGTTTAGCAGGTGGTCGGTGGTCAGGGTTGAAGCAACCGAGGGGTGTTGGAGAGGCCACAAACATTTTCCATTGGAAGCTTCATCAAGCATCAGTTTTGAGGGGTTCTCCACCTTGATTTGGCCGATGCACAGGAAAAGGTGACAACCCCTTGCTGCAGCCATTTGATGTCATTTGGGTGTTTCAGAGGAGACGTCAAGGATTGTGTGTGTGTGTGTTTCGGGGGTTCCCTAAGTTTGGGACCAACCCTGTTCCTCGTTTCTGAACTTCTGTTTCTTCTAGAGCCCGGCCTTGCTTGCTTTCAAGGCACTGGGAGCCGATTTTGGGAAGGTCTCACACCCAATAAGACGACGCCCGCGAGAATCTCCCAGACTTGCGGGCCAGATGCCTGGAACTTTACTAGACACAGTGTTCGCTTGCCGCATGGATCAGCCCGGTTCATGCCTTTAGGACTTGTTTCCATTGCCCGCGAATTTCTCAACGCCCTCCCATTCACGAACATGCAACATGACTGCTAGAATCTCCCAGAGGGGCCTTCTGGTGGTTCTAGGTCATGGGCTCTTATCCTTCCGCCACGCTTGTTGCCTGTCACGGCAGGCTGCCAAATGCCCTGTCCCGGAGTCAGGACTGTCCGAGTGGGCCATTGAGTGTTGCCAGACGATTGCAGTCCGTTTGTTGGGCTTTATTGGATGGAATAGGGCATGTTTTCGGCACGAAAGGGTCTCCAAGTTATGTTCAAACCGTTTCGACACGCGGGTCATCCTCACGTTGCGGCAACAGAAAATGGTTGAAGCTACGTGGCCCTGGTGCAGGGCAAGGGTTCCAGATTCTGCAACTTGTGAAATCCATGCTTTTCACATAGCTTCCGCATGTTGTGTGATGGCTGCAAAGTCAATCTTCGTGTGCCTGCCTCCAGATGCACGGCCTGTAGCAGGTCGCCACAGCGCATACTTGCGTTAGGGAAGTTCTGAAGACAAAGATATTCACACTTTGCCTTCCAATGGATTTGGGGGACAGCACCAGGCAGATCGGCGGAAATGGTCCAGCTATCGTTGCGGATGTTGCCCTCCCCCTTTGCCCTTGCTCTGCGCGTTTTCCTAGGGCCTAGGTGCTTTCCCCGTGGCCAGAAGAATCCTATGGCAAGGCATGATCCATGTCTCTGAGCTTTGCTTGTCCCCCCTGCAGTTTTTATGGCAGGAGGCAGCACCCAGCTGTCGCAGCTGCTGGAGCGGCGGGTTTCGGCGGTGAAAGCCGCGGAGCTGACCAAGTACCCTGGTTTTCTTGACTTCTCGTTGGTTTGGGGGCTACTACGAAACTAGAGGTGTGCTGGCTGACAGGTTTGCTGCAACTGCAAAACAGAGTTTGACCAAAGATGCCCCAACAAAGCAAGTATTTCCCCTGCCAGCTCTCTTGACGAATATTGAAAAGGCCTGTGCGTTTAGCTGAGGTTGCCCCACCGCCGCCGTGCTGGCACATTCTTTATATTCACACTTTGTTCCCAACGCGGGCAAAGCAACGGTAGGTTGAGAGGGATGTCTGCGATTTATGTTTTGTATGGGCTTCAGCAACAATATTGTCGAGAACAAGTAATCAATTCCGGATTTCGAATGTGACTTTGCGAAACTTACTGAGTTGCTGCAATCCGGCCGATGTGCCTCACGTCCACCCTCAGCCCTTCATGATGAATTAGAATGGTGTAGTTCGCAGGCGAAACCTTTTCAAATGCCAATGCAATCTGCTGACAGAGTCGTCGAACGTGACCAAACCATGCTTTTCTGTGGGTGGGTGAGTCAAGTTTCTACATGAAGCCGCAAGTGGTGACAATAGTTATGTTTTTTTCAGACCCTTTCCTCGCACGCCCGGGAAGTTGACATTGAGGACCACGCCAAAACCCTGGTTCTGACGCAATTCAGGGTCAGGTGGGGCTTTTCACGTCCAGTCGGAATTGGTGAACAGGTTCCCAGAAGGGCCTGCATATTGTATACTCAGAAATGCCAGCCAAACAACAGCATGCAAACACGTATGAAGCACCTCAAGGACATGGGCAAGGTTGCTGAGATACAGTTCCGAGTTCGTTGCCATTTCTGAAACACCTGAGAACCTCCCTCTTCAAGTTGCTCAAGGAAGGCTGTTTACTTGGCCAGCTTTGTCCCTCGTCCTTTGCATCACCAGGAGGTTCTGGCTAAGAAGCCGGCAGTGAAAAGGCACGGGTTTCTGATTCGATCAGTAGGGGCTCGGAAAAAGAGCCCAGATCCACATTTGGACCGACTGACATTTCATGGGCGGTTCGGTTGGCACTGCCCATCAATCAATGCTCAAGGCCGATGCACACGGCGAGTCTAGCTCCGGCCAAGGTCGCCCCTCCAAAGCTCATGCCAGTCTAAATGATGCCAAGATCGCGATAGCGTCTCCAAATTTACGCTCTTTCAAAGCTTTTGGTCACCAGTGGAACCCTCAGAAGACTACTTTGGGTGTCAAGAAAGTTGTCTCAATTTCAGCTGCGCTGAACCAGGGGCTTGAAGAATTGCCGGGTCTGACTTGTTGATTGTTCCTTTCGGGTGAAGTCATTGAAGGCGACGCCACATTTTCCGTTAAGGTGCCTTATGGTGCCTTTTGGGTTGAAGATGTCGAGCGCAACCTCGGAGAATCGTCAGGGTCTTCTTTTTGATCAAGAAGACTCGCCGGTTTGCATGTCCGGAGCAGTTTTGGTCTTTTAGATTCAACTGCTACATTTATAGGAAAGCGACTAGACGAACATCTATAATTTGAAGTTTGCCGAGTGGTTTACCATCAGTCACTCAGTTGGCCAGCTTGTTTTGGGCCGGCAGACGCAGCACTTGCAAGCAGCCGCGCTCCAAGCCACTACCATCGGGCCTCTTGTTTGGAGTTGTTTCACTGTTTGCTGGATGGCTGTTGTTGGCTTGTTGCCATTTGTTGCTTGCCTTTGTGAGTTGGTGTTGCTTCTCGGTTTGATTTTTGTTTGCGCTTGATTCCTTGTGGGCCCGTGCAAAGCAAAAGTTGTGCTAAGCCACGGGTGGGGACCTTCCTTGCCCACTCCACAGGCCGCTCGCTGGCGAACTGATGCCAGCAGAACAGGCCGAGGCATTGGCAGATGTGTGTTCCGGTCGCCACGGGGTTGTTCAACGTCAGTGTTCCTTTGAGCCTTTCTCTCGGGAGCTGACTTCGAGAATGGCGAACAAGGGCTAAGTCACGCTGCATGTTCATGGAATATGTCAGCCTGCATTTTAGAGTCGCCCGAAAGGTCCTTGGGCCGCCAAAGTTACCTTCTTCTCGCGAAAGTTTTGTGTAAGGCTGGTTTGCGAAATGGAAGATGGAATTATGCACCTGCCGGCAGGTGAGCGCAGAATGCACACAGACTAAAGTTGGTCAGAGGAAAGAGCGACTTGGGATTGCCGCAAAAGTTGCGCTGCTGCAAAGGCAACCCCCAGCAGCAAGCAGCTTGTTGGAGTTTTGAATCTTTCGGGCAACTCCCCAGCCGGATTTTCGGTAATGTTTGGCGTAAGGTAGGAAAACTTCGCGAAAGTCGATGTGGTTTTCGAGCTGGGACTGCGGAAGTTGTTTTTGTGCTACTTTCGTACTGAAAAGCTGCGACTTTGGAGCCAGGACTGCGAAAGCTCTGCGCTGCAGGTTTCGAAAGTCTTCTTCTCAACATTGGGCGATTTGTCCCTTGAAGCCGGCGGTCTCCCAGAGCCAGCGCTGAAGCCCTGGGTGGCCCATTTGGTCAAGAGACCCTCATGGGATCCCAGCACCTAACCGCGCTTCTGGGTTTTGGGATCCTGGGAGGGCTGGCAAGCCGGCCAGCCAGAAAGGCAACATCAGTTGCCGGCACTTGGTCCCTGCCCAAGACTCGCCGGAATCGCCGCACGCTTGACGGCAGCGAAACGGTCTTTTGGATGTGACCTTTGGGCTTCAGGCTCTTCATGGGTGCCCCCATTTGAGTTTAGCCCAGCACGTGAACCTGTTTCGGTTCAGGCCAAGCGGGTGGTACCATTCGGGCAAGGCTTCGACGCTGGGTATTGCGAAGGGCCGCGCGCTTTGTAGAGCTCAAATCAAGGTCCACTTTAAGTGTTGCGCTTGCCATTTTTGAACCGAGCGGTTGATGTCGTGTGTTGCAATGGTACCAACACATCATAGTGCACCAGATCAGCTGCGGCCGCCCGTCTGCATTCCACTTCTTTGTTGCAGCTCTGGCATTTGGCAGGCGCCCGCTTCGGTGAAGATGGATGATGCAGGCCAGGTTTGGCCGTGAAGAATCAGGAGCTTGTTTGAGGCCAAGGGTTGAACGTCTTAGGCTCTTCTGGGTAGCTATTACTTGGCTCGCATGCGGCGTTTGCCCCATTTGAGGGGCAAGCGATGAGAAGCAGGCAGCACGCATGGTACCACAGCAAGCCCAGGGCATGGGCAAGCGGTGGAAGTAGGAGGACAAAACATTGGTTCCAAATGGTTGCCGACCTGACCTTAGTTGCCAGTTGTGATTTTTCCGTGTCTTGGGATATAAGAGTGCTTGGATGCGGCCAGTCCAGCCAGACCTGTAGGCCCCATTGATAAGCAGGGCCCGTTGATCGCCGCAGGCGTGTTCCGTGGCAGTGAGGGTGCCGGCCTCCAAATGCTGGCGCCTGGGCCGTGGGATGCCTAGCGTGCTGGGTTTGAGTTTTCATGTGAGGCTTGTTGGCAACCCCCTAGTAGGTGTTTGGGATTTGTGCGGTTTCAACCATCCCTTGCAGGGCAGGTGTCTAAAAACACCAAGGCCTGTACCTTGTGGGTTCAGATTTCCCTCAGTTTGCATTGGTGGGCACAAGGGAAACCTCCCTAACCTCTAAACCACTCATCCAAACCACCAATTAGAGGCAAGCTGATAGCTTTGTCAATCCTAGAGTCCGCACTTTCAAGACAATTTTGAGCTGAAACTCAACGAACCCCCCTTCAGAATAGGGATGGTTTCTTCACCATAAACGGGGTGGGGGCTTCTTGATCTTCAACCCAGATGGTGGAGTCAACAGGCTGGCGACCGTAGTTGCTGGGAGCAACTGGCCTTGCCTGAGCTGGTGGGGTGAGTTGTTGTTGATCCGCAAGGAGGGTGTGTTCGAAGGCAAGGTCAAGCTGTCAAGCGTGCCTTCATGCACACCTACCAAGCTCTTCAGTGTTGTCAGGCCTTTCATAAAGATTTAAGTAAGAGCCAGAAGCGTCATCCCTCCCACCAACATTATATGGAAGTGTTGGGGCTTCCCAATTTTAGGGAAGAGTCGTCTTCCAGGGGTCCCAGGGCCTTGGCAATGCCATGTTCGATGGGATGGTTCTGTTTTGGGTACAGTTGCTTGAAGAAGTCAGAAACTCACAGCAGGTCCCTGGCTCTTTGTGGCGCAGTGGCCGAGGTGGCTCTTTGAGGGCCGCAACTCCTTCGACCTCCCCTACGAGCCTTTAGCAAACCCCTCAGGCTGGGTACCCCATGCAGTGGCATGGCATGGTGTCCTCGGATTTCAACAAGTTTCCTTTTCTATCCTTTCAAGTCCTCTACTATGAGCCCAGCATTTCCAGCCCTTGGCAGCATGCCTGAGATGTGCGAGCGGTGCTCAGCCCGGATTCAAAAATTCCGCTGTATGCATCAGGGTCTTCCGAGTAGCTAAAGTGATCCAGTTTAGAAGGATTCCTCGAAGCTCAGTCTTTGTTGTTTTCCCAACCAACATTTGTTTCACTTGTGGGGATGGCAATTTCGCCACCATGGATTCACTTGATTGGTTCGGAATTGGTTCCAAGGTGGGACGTGCGCCTTACTGTTCCTCCTCTTAGTCGCCAAGGGAAAAACCCACTCGACGGAAAGAAGTCCGATTCAGGCAATTGAAATCATCCAAAAGTGAAAGGGAAATCATTGTTCGATATTGGCAGAAACAAGGACCTTTTCAAATGCCTATTGCAGGGTTCGTGAAAGGATTCGGCCTAAAAGCAACTTTACAACTGGTGATGTTTTGACTAAGCCAGAGTGTGTGCTTGCAGGGACCATGCTTGTGAAGACAAACCTAGGTGTTCTAGCATCCTGCAAGGGGGTTCGGGTTTGAATGGTCCGTGCTTCGGGCAATTCCAACAGAAGCATGCTGACGGTCAAGTAATGATCAGACCGTATGAATTGCCAGCCCACGAACATTGCGATGGATTCTGTTGCGGATGCCGTTACTTCTTGACCACACCATCCAATTGCCACACGCAAACACAGGGCCATGCATGTTCGGCTAGCAACAGTTCCAGGGCAACCATGACAAATGCACCTGAGAGCGAGTTGTGTTGAGGTTTGTCCTAGTTCCCCGCTGAACAGGCCCGACAAAGCATTTGCCCTGGGAATATGCCATGTTGGCCATGTTGAGAAGGGCGGATCCTCCAATCAACAGGTGTTGGATTTGAGTTAGTTTGAGCCCATCGCACGTTACGAATGTGGAAGGTTATTGAAGCTGTGGCTTCAGGTAGGATTCAGCATAGGCTGATTTGTTTAACCCCCCCACTCCCGCTTTGGCAACGCCAACTTCTCAGGATTTTTGTTTGTAGGATGTCAATGTAGGTTGAGCCACCGCGCGCGGCCCGTATTTCGTTGCTTGTTCTCTGATTTGTCGACAGCCCATGAGAAGGAGGGGTTGAGGTTCCTGGGATTTTCGTGCGTATGGGCCCGTGGCCTTACGCCCAGGCACTGGGGACTGCCCAGGCGTCCAAACTTGGTTCCCTGGGTTTGCTTCGCTTTGTGGGAGGATCAGCTGTTTCAGTTCCATGGCGCTTAAAGTATATAGCCTCAAGGTATGCAGCCTTTGGTGGGAAGTGCAATGACCCGTCCCCAGCACTTGTTTCACAAGGCCATGTCCTCTGCCATTCTGATATGGCCCCAAACCACTACCCCCATTCAAACGGGGAAGCAAATAGCATTCCATCGTGGCTTGCTTGCATAGGTTCAAAAACAAAACTACCAAACTGACCAAACTCCTACAAGACTACCTGAGCAAAACAAGACTACTCCTACAAACTACCTAACTGCTTTCACTCCAAAAAGTCCTTCAGGCATAGCCACAGTGCAACTCGCGTGCAGGCGCCTTCACCGTGGAGGTTTGGGCCGCCTGCGCCACCTCCTTCGGCCACCAGCTGGGCCCCTGGATGGATGCCCAGGTGTCCAATGGAAACCTAAGACAACCCACTCCAACCAATGGCCGATTGGGGTGCATGAAAAATGAAAACAAACCATTGGTGTGGCAATGAAAGAGAAAACTGTTAGGCCTTCGTCCGCTCAAAACCAGAAGAATTCCAAAGGGCGGTTGCGATTCACTTTGGACAGCTGAGTTGCTGTTCTGTTGTAGTTGTGATGAGACCTGTTCAGTTTTGCGATTTCTCAGGCCAAAAGAACAGACCGCTCTCGGATTCATCTTGCCAGGAGGAAATCAAATGCCTGCACTGTTTTCGGGTGCCATGACTGAACATGAATCAAACATAGAACAAATCACTTTATATTCATTGAAGTAACAATGGAGGAGCAAGCAGAAACTGAACGGGTCTTCGACTTGGAAGTGCCTCGATTTGGGCAAGGGAGCTCCGATTCAGTTGAAAGAAACCAGGCCCACAAGATATGTTCTTCGCCAGAGCACGGACATGGCAATACACATGGCTTCACCCACTGCTTTCTGCAGCCCTCAGCCATGTCCTTTGCGATCCTTGCTGTGTTCAAGTGTTTTCTGTGGCTCACAGTCATAGCCAGTGCTCTGCAAACTCCAGTGGCAAGCGTTCAAAAGCAGGCTCCTTGGCCGTGCGCAGGCTGCCTGCACTTTGGGGTTGCCTTTTGTCGGTTCCCTCCACCAACGCTCGAGCATTCCGAACACTTTGGGCCTTTCAGGTCGGTTTGGCGCATGACACTGCAAGCGGCATATGAGCTCCTAGCCCCGTTTCCGCAAGAGGCCCTTGACAACATTTGGCTATGAGCTTTCGATTGGTTTCGCCTGGCGGAGGTGTGTTCTGGCCTCCCGCGATGACCAGGCGCGCTTAACACGACACGTGCGACCCTTCCCCCTTCAAGCACAGTCTGTTCTTACCCATGTCCATTCTCATTGAATCTGATTATTCCCTGCAGTCGCTGGAATGGACAAGGGCAGTGAGACTGGATTGGTTTGTTTCCTTGAGCTCGAAGGCTTCGGATCACCGCCAGTGGGCTCGGTTAGGCGTTTGTGCGCGCGAGGGTTTCCGCTTTGCTGAAGCTCAACTGAGTAGGTCACAAACATACATGTTTTGTTTGCTATCCTATGACCCAATTTCCGACTGAGTTGAATATCCAAGCTCTAGCAAAGACTCTCTGTCAATGAGTGCTACTTGTTTCTCTCGGTAGCAGCGACCGGAGTGCAATCACAAAAGTTGGTGGCTAGACCGTTAGCTTCCTGTCCCTGTCTCAACGTAAGTTTGTCGTGGCAGGCTCTGACGGCATCCCCGCCCCACTTTGGCTCAGCACGGCGCCAGCATGGAACTGGGACGTAGTGTCCCTACAATGAGGTGCCCCAAGCATAGTGTCAGGTGCCCCCCAGCCTCAAGCGGATCACCCGCACCCTACCCTTTGGTTTCTCTATTGGACTACTTTAAGCCAACCGGATGGAAATGGAGCAGAGTTGCCTCTTGCGAGCTATCCTGCCCTGCCGGGCAGTAGGGCGGGATCACTGAGCGGTTCTTTGGCAGAGTAGTAAGCGCAATAAGCCATAAAAGGATGCCCTTTGCGTGACTGCCCTTTGCCCCGCCAAGCAAAACATGAATTGACCACGTTACGCCCTTTCTCAGAGTGCCCTTGACACGCACCAAGTCTTCTGTTGACGAAGCAATTCTGTAGGGCTCATGGAGGGCTTATTGAAGGATTCTTGTCGAACATATTGAACATGACTGTTCCCACCGGTTTGAAATGAAGACGAGCCTGTTGCTTTCGACCCAAGCATTCGGGCCGGCAAGTGCACGCGTTGCCGCAACGTCTCACTTGTCTGCCGGAACTGGCAGAATTAGAATCGTTCTTCCTCAGCCATGTCGGGCGGACGGCCTCAGATGCTCATGTGCTACCTTTGCGCCTGGGCTGAGCAAAGGTTTGGCTGGCAGAGTCCCCTTCTGCTCTGTATTGCCCAAAGGTAGTTCAGGGATTTTGGATTCGGAGCACCCTTAGCGGTCCACGGAAGGGGCGTGCAAGTTTCCCAGTTCCTGGCTAGAGCTTTCTCCCACGCCAGCCCACGAAGGTCCTGTGTCTTTATTCAATGTGTTAACTGTTGTTGGGTGTAACTGGGGTTACGAACTTGTTTGATTTCTTGGTCTTCTGGATGTTTTTGTCTTTTGTGGGCATGTGAGCATGTTAATTCTTGGCCTGAAGCCAATCTTCCTCTGGCCTTATTTTTGGGGGTTGCGTGGCCAGCTTTTCAGAAAACCCTTAATTGGTGGTTTGGATTTGTGGCATTGGGGATATGAACCTCTGGCTTTTGTACACAGCAAATGGGACACCGCGGCTGATCTTTAGCCGTGGGCCCAACAGGTGGTCACCTTTTTCTTCAGGTTACACTAGGGTGAAAGTAGACGGCAAAGTTCCCCCATCTTGAGTGACCCCCTTCGCTTTTCCACGAGGGAGTTGTGCCATTCAGGGCAAGCAAGCATGTGAGCTAGTTTAAGCCGCGCCGATAGAACCTGGGTTTCGAAGGTTCCCAGTCCGGAAGTGCGAGTTTTGATCAAAGCCAACCCGAAACCGCTGCGAGGGCTTCTGGCTTTGACGCACACAGACACGGACACAGAACACAGACACAGACAGACACAGAGACACACACACACACTTCTTTTTAGGGGACCCCCAAGCAAAAAAAAACAAAAGAAAGAAGAAAAATAAAGAAGTTAAGCCCCCCCAATGGCCGGTAATTGGCGTCCCGGGTGAAGTGCCGGCAATTGACCAGCACTTGCTTAAAAATGGTTTTGTAGTCACATGGTTGTTTTTTGCCATCATCAAAGTGCAGTGAAAAGTCACTTTTGTTGAAACGTCACTTCCGGATACTAGAGGGGATCCAATTGAGGGGTTGGGCTGGCATGTATGATCATTGCACGTGCAACGCGCGGGGGGGGAGGGGGGGCGACACGCTGGTGACACGCTCATATCCCAAAATAGTGACCGTTCAACGTACATGTGCCGGCAATTGGCCACCCCCCGACACGCCGTGACACGCCGTGACACGCTCCTCAAGAACCCCTCCCAACCTCAAACTTGCCCTCCAAACCTCAAATTTGCTGCTCTCCCCTTTCCCCTGCAACCCCATTCCAAAGGACCCTGAAAGGTCACTTGTATCATTGCACAAATTGCACTAAGTACAGATGAGTGATAATTGATAGCAAAATGTTTTTGCAGTCACTTAGACATAAAGTGACATCGTTTTGCCCAAAATCGATGTGCCGGCAATTGGCCAGCCATTGGGGGGTGCTGGCGAAGTGGTTTTTGCTTTTGGTTCCCCTTTAAACAACCAAAATAGGCTACCTCCAAAAGAGAGACACACCTACATGCATACATCGAACATCGAGCCAGGGATGTGTTTTGTGAGTTAGCGCTTTCAGGTGGCCGCGAGTTTGGGTCGCGCTCGCTGCCCATCCACGTGCCGCAGTGCCGGGCGGCCAAGAGCGGGGCGGCTTCGGAGAAACTCGTGGGAATGTGGGACGTCCACAGGGTGTGCATGCTGGGTTACTGGAAGCAGGAATAGCAAACTGCCTGGCCCTCGTTGTCACTGATCCTGAAATTTGACATTGGTCCTGAGATTCGTTTTGGCGAGCCTGCTTTGTGACTGCAGGGGAGCGTCCTCTCGTTTTTCAAAGGACCCAGCTGGTTTCTGAATAAAACCCTGTATGTTTGTTCCCCGAACTTTGGCTTTTTCTCAACACGCATCGCCGTCCCTCCAGTTGCCTCTCCACACGGCAAGTGTCTGGCTGACGGCTAGATCGCTCGGATTGGTCAAGCGCCTAGCCAGTTTCTCCCCATTTAGGAGTTGATGTACCTGGGCCTGCGCTTACTGCCGTGTCGGTGCAGGGGTGCTGCTACCTGGGCCTGTGCTTTGTGGACTTCCTTGGGGTCAATGAGCTCTTTCTGTTACGTTGTCAAAGGCCTGCTGTCGTTAGAGACTGGAAGACAGCTCAGCTTCAATCCTTCAATTGCCAAATATGGCTTGCTTCTTGAAACCGGGCCCCGTGATTTGGTTCCGTTTGCGGGCATGTCAGTCTTTCCCCGCTTTCCCTCGTTTTCCCTCTTGGGGCTGTCAGATGAGTCAAACTGTTTGAGGCCAGCGGCCGCATTTGCTCTGTGTTGGGGATGCCCAGGTGAGAAGAAGTGGCTCGCACAGGAGACCGGAGCCTTTTTGGCGGTCGCGGTCGGCATCGCCAGGTTCGAGGCAGTCGATATGTCAGGCGCACGCCTCACCGACAAAAAATCCAGTCCAGCACCCCCCCAAAGACTGTGTTCTTTCCCAAAGCCCGAAGTGCTGGTTGAGAAGCAGTCCTTGGGCAGCTACCTCCCCACTACCCCCAGGAGTCCAACAAGCCGGCGGCGGACCGGAAGGCGCTGCCGCCGCGCCCCGAGCGCTTGAATGCCATCCTGGCGGGGAACAACCTGAACGACCAGGAGAGAACGGCAAGTGGGCCTCGCCGCAAACCCAGAAATACGGGGTGATTTTTTGGGAGGGCAGGTGCGTCACGATTTGTTTTCTCCGAATACTAATTTACATGCAACAATTAACAACCAATTCTCTAAAATTATACTACGCGGGTGACGTTTCATCATTTTCTAACTGCAAGTTCTTTTTACAGGAAGAAATGGTTGCCAATAAAGACTCTAACAAATCCAAATAGTATTTATTTATGTTTTTGAAACTGCATAGCTCCAACTGGGCAAAAGTCCGAATTTGCCCCCCCCCCCCCCCCCGAAAAAAGTAGTGTCCCTTTGGTTTCCCACCCACACCCCTACAAGACCACCGTAGGCCTGAACCGAGTAAAAGCCCATGCTGGCAAGTGGAAACCATTTGCCCAAGGAGTTGCCGGTTCAATGCGAACCGGCAGAACGGGTATGGCTTTTGTAGGGGACCCCACAAATGGCATACCCTCAAGAGACACACAAAAACCATCACAAACGCCTGGTTGATGAATAGGGGAGTCCCAACTCACAGGGAAGTGGAGCCGCCGGGTTGATGAATCCAGGGTGCCCGTTGCAGGTCTGCCCCCTGAGTTGATGGGACTCTCAAAGAAGAGACTTGAGGGGACGTCCCCGCTACGTACTACGCACATGGATTCCCATTCCAGGCCGTAAATTTCAAAAATGTCGCGACACGGAAAATGGGAATCAGCGCAGGAGCGAGCCAGATTCAACGAGGACCGGGGGAGGGATGAGAGCTTTCGAAACTGGTTTGGTTTGTTTGCTTCCTTGCTTGTTGCTTACTTGTTTGTTGTTGTTTGTTTTGGTTGCTTGTTTGACTCGTTTGCGCTGTCTTGTTTGGTGTTTGTTTGTTTGATTGGTTGTTTGTTTGTTTGTTTGTTTGTTTGTTTTTTTGTTGAGGTTTGTTGCTTGTTTGTTTGTATTGTGTTGTGTTGTGTTGTATGGTATAGTATAGTATAGTATATATTGTATTGTATTGTTTGTGTGTTTGCTCGGTTGTTCGATTGTTTGTTTGTTTGTTTGTTTGTTTGTTTGTTGGTTTGTTGGTTGATTTGCTTGTTTGTTTTTGTGCTGTCTTCTTTTTTTTGGGGGGGGGGGGGCTTTGCGTGCAGTGTGTTGACTTGTGTTCTTGTGTGATTGCTTGTTTTTCTTGGTTGGTTGATTGGTTTGGCGTGTTTGTGTGTTTGTTTGTGCGTTTGTGTCTTTGTGTGGGATTGGTTGGTTGGTTGGTTGGTTGCTTGGTCGGTCGATTGGTTGATTGATTTCAAAGAAGCAAGATTGAGTGATTGATCAATGACTGATCTGATTTGGTTTGATTTGATGAGATTTGAATTGATTTGGTGTGGTTGATTCTATTAGACGTATTGGATTGAATTGGGTTGGATTGATTTATTTGATTGAATTGATTTGATTCAATTATTTGATTGTTTCAGTTCTTTAGAATGATTGACTTGCTTGATTAACTTATTGATTGGTTGGCTGGTTGTTTGATTGATTCATTGATTGATTCATTGAGTTGAGCTGAGTTGATTGATTTATTGAGTGATTGACCGACTGGTTGACATTGATTGATGGGTTGGCGGGTTGATTGGATTGGTTTGTTTTTGGTGGGTTGGTTGATTGACTGATTGGTTGGTTGATTAATTGATTGATTGATGGAGTTTATCCGTTTCATGTATTTGATTCACACATTGATTTGATTCACTTTGATTTGCGGTGACTTGATTTGATTTGTGTTGTTGATTAATTGAGCTTGTTTGTTTGGTCGTTCGTTAGATGAGATTGGTTGACCTTTGACCTTTGTCACCTGTTCCATGGGCGCGCACCTCGGAAGTTCATTCGTTCTTCTTCTGCCGTTTGTATTGGGGAGTGTATATAGTGTTGCTTTGCTTATTGGCAGTACCAAGAGGAAATTGCATTTTGCATGGAGCATGCCGTACTGCCCCTTCCCTTTTCCACAACCTGGCCATTTTCCAGGCAGATGGCTTGTGGCAGACGCAATTTGGCCCAAAGTATGCTTGGTGCTTGTAGTTTGAACGACCTTGGAGGAGATGTACAACAATTACGACCAGGATGTTCTCGACAAATGCCCTTGGAACCTTGCTTGCACTAAGCAGGCTGCAAGCGCCTATTCTGCCAACAGTCACAGAAGTTTGCTGGAGGGAATCCACAATTTGCGTGCGGGATTTAGTTGTCCCAATCGACCTTTTTTTTCATTCCCAGTTTTCTTGGGCAACTCTCTCTTCCTCACGTCCGAAGAGACGGTGTGAAGAGGTTTTGGTTCATTTCCTGGCTCCTTTACGGATGAGAACGAGGCACACTCAACAAGCTTGTGCTGAGCCGGTGTGAGAAGCCAGGGCAGCCAGAAATTGCCCGCCGCCTGATTCACAAATTGTCCACAAGGCAGCTCCTTAAATGTGTCGACTTCGCTGTCGCACCTGTTGAGTTGGTAAGCTTGAAAGCGTGAAGTGTTGTTGTGCTCGGTGTGTCAGGCAAGGCATGCACAGTGTTATTATTTTGTTGGGCAGTCAGCTCAGCAGGTTAGCTGCTCTTGCATGTGTTGATATTTGGCGTTTTGTGCATGTGTGGCAAGTGAGCCACAAACACCACCGCCTGGGTATAGTTGAAGTGTAGCAGGGCCAATCCCAACCTAGACAGGCTCGGCTGCCCTTTGATGATTTTGTTGTTCGTGTGTGTTTTGGGATTCTGCGTGGCAACCGGCTGTTGGGGAGCAAACCTGATGACAGAAACAAGGGGCAGCTTTTGGGGTGTGCCCAAGATGGCCCCTGGATGCTGCGGAGCGGCGATCAGCAGCTTTGTCCCCTCCGAGTTCTTGCTGAAACCAAGTGGCAAGGCACCTCTATCGAAGGTCAAGGCTGCGGTACTTTGAGAACATGCTTGCAGCAAAGCACAGTAACATACCCTCAACAGGTTGAACAGCCCATGCTTTCAGTAGCAAGACGCCGCCATGCATGATGTGTGTGCGTATGTTAGTGCATTGTTGTTTGTGTTTAATTGTGTGTTATTCTTATGGTTCTGTTTATTTGGTTGCCTGTTCATGTTTGTAGTTGTTTGTTATTTTATTGATTGGCTTATTTGTTTCCGCATTTATTTATTTTTTATGTACTTATTGACTTGTCTATTTACTTATTTATTCATTTGTTTTATTTGTTTGTTTGTTTGTTTGTTTGTTTGTTTTCTTAGCTGGTTGTGTGTTTAGCTAGTTATGTATTGACTTATGTGTCATTGATTTTGCTTGTGTTTGTTCTTTATTGTTTGGTATACCTTTTTATTATGCATTGGCTATGCATTTAGTTGCCCATGTTTTTGCATACATGTTATTTGTTTAGTTCCCTTTCTGTATACAAATATGTTTGTTTAAACAACTAATACACACATTAAGCAACTATAAACTTCTTGTTTGCATATTGTGTTTGCTTTCATTTGTTGCTCCTTGTATTTATGTGTTTCTCACAAAGCGGGGGCAAGCGACTCCAAGGTGTGGTCGCACCTTCACGGCCCATGCCATGGCCATCCACGCCAAGAGCTGCACAGAGGACGGGGGGAGCTAAAAAAAGACATAGGCTTGATTTGTTTAAGGCTAGCTCCAAAAATAATGTTTTCCTTTTATTTTTCTTTTAGCTCTAACAAAAAAGGGTTAACACGGCGGTCTCCTGCATGTTATCTTCTACACTTTCGGCCGGGCTGTGGGTTTCAAGCACAACCCAAAGGAAGACCACAATTTTGGGGGTCCCCTAAGACAAGACTCACCCACAGGTATGTGTCCTTTGTTGAGGGTACCGAGCTTGGGGTTGTTTTACGTATTTGGAGACAATCCTGCATAAAATAAGCAAACGTGTGGAACTATGAATCTGGCTTTTTCCATTTCAACTGGCTCCGGATTTTGTCCGTTCGCAGTAGTGCAACGATGTTTGAAGCGGTTGCCCATTGGGTGGGCCTACTACATGAGAATGATGAAGCAAGGGTTTCGAGCAAAGGCCCAACCTTGCTTTGAAGCTATTTTCTTACTTGGCTGCCTTTTCGTTGCATGAGCCAGTCGTTTTGGCAAAAGGCTTCGGGTGAAATTGGCTCCTGGCTTGCGCGATTGAGGCTTCAGGGCGCCTTAGCTGTTTTGTTCGACTTGTCACCTTTGAACCCAACTGGCATGGGCTTTCCCGAGGTACGTCGGCCTTGCTGGGAGCATTTTAGTGAAGTGTCACCCGAAGGGCGAACAAGTCGTGAGTCGGGCACGCGAGTGTTGCCGAGAATTAGGGACCCCCCCTTGAATTGTGTTGGACAGCCACCACCTCTAGGCCTCCTACTTGTTTGTTGCTTGTTGGTGGCTGGTTGCGGAAACCAATGGCAGGACAGCCCTGCCAAGCCTGCGGGCACTGGGCTTACAAAGGCAAGCCTCAGCAACACTTTGCATGGCGCCTGGGCCAGCACAATTCTTCTCTCACAAATACGGTGCACCGACTCCCTTTTTGCACCTCCATGATTGTTGGTGGGAGGGTAGCGCGTGTTGCTTCTTCTTTTTTATTCTTCTTCTTCTTGTTCTTTTTTGTTGGCTTGTTCATATTTGGCGGCGTGGACATGCAATTCCCTGATCTTCCAGTGAAACATTCCGCTTAGCTGCCCAATAGTTGCCGAGCTGGTTTTGGCTTGTTTCGCTTGAGGGGGTTGGCCGTTGTTCCAGGTGTTGTCTTTGGGTGGATTGCTTGGACTTGTCTCTACCGGTGCCTCCAAACTGGCTACTTGCGGGGGGCTCTCAAGTTTGCGTGGAGCGTTTGAGCCTTTCAGCAATATGAGTGTACATTTGTTTTGTTTTGGCCCAGTTACAACTTCCAATTATGACCTGGAATGGCAACTTGCACCTTCTAGTCGTGGATTGCATTGTTTGAGAGAATGCGTGAACATAGAGATGGGGGTGACTTGGATTGTCCGTCCCCCCTCACTATCTCTTCAGTCACATGATTTGTCTGGACTAATGTCACCGGTGGTTGGCAACCAAATAGAGACCATCCGCAACTTTGTGGTCATGGAATGCCCCACTGCAGAAGTAGATGGATCATTTTCCTACGCCGTGGAGGGTCCGCAAAGCCGGTCAGACACTCAGGCAGCGGTTTCTTTACAGTTCCCGGCGTTGGGCTCAAACCAGGGGTTGCGCTGGATGGGTCGACCATACCCCCCTGATTTCAGCAGGATGGCATGTTTTGATGGGCGGTTTTGACAGGAACCCCGCTAAACAAATGGGATGCAGGTGACCTTGTTGGCATGTTCTACCAATGGAAGTGCTCGCTTTACCAGCCCCCAATGTGTCTGATTGTCGAAATTCCGACTGGGCTCACGGATGCACACAAATGTAATACGACGCTTTGAAGGTCTGTTGCCGAACATGTGATCAGGAAAACAGGACAGGGTCATAGAAGGCTAGGCGTTGTTCCCAATGACAATTGGTTCAGTTGATCGTCATTCTGCAGCATTGAGCTGACGCAGGATGAAGTTCCCCACTAAGGATTCCTTATGTCTATTTGGGAATTTAAAACATTTGCCCCAGTACTATGGGCTTGGACTGCAATCCCAAACCTTGCGTGGGCAGCTTTTGCGTGTTGTTGGTGGGTATCTATTTTTGTTGGACCGGCTTTGCCAATTTTGCGTGGCCCTTGAGACAACCCCAGGTGATTTTTTCCATAGGCCCCACCAGACCGCAGGACCGCATGTAGGGACCCTGTCCGAGGTAAGACCTATGGCACTCGCCGCCTGGATGACTTCATTTGGGGGACTCTTGAGACTTAATGGAACGCCATTGGCTCCCAAAAAAAGGATAGAAAGGAGAATCGCCCCTCCCCCCTCTGGAAAACTCCCTTCAAACTTAAACAAGGGACATTCAATTGGTGAACCTCATAGCGATCCACGGGGTGGGTCAAAATCGTGAATTGGTGTTGATTCATGGCTATTTGTGGAAAGCCTCGTGGTAGACCGGGAGATGCGTAGTGCAACGCCGGTGGTTTACTTGTTTTGTGCAGACGTAAAGAACTGCCCATTTAGCTACATATGCGCACTACTGTTGGGCACAATTCCGATTCTTTTTCCATGTGTTTGCACTGGTGGGTAGTAATGGTTCCAGAAGGAAGCTTTTTGATAGCCTGTGCCGTCCTTGGGTAAGGAGCCACTTTCACCTTTCCCTTGGCTTTCAGAAGGAGGCGGCTAGGTTTCATCACAACTCGCTTGCTTGTTGATTACTTGGCCTGATGTGTTTGTAGCTTTCGGCATTGATGAACGGAGTGTATCAGGTTGCCCTTTTGGCGGAAGAAAATCACGACCCTGTGGCATTAGCACGACAAATCTGTGTTAAAACCACTGTTGAATAATTCTCTCGCGCAGCCCGGCCACCCTGAGGCCACTGGTTTGTAGTTTTTTTTGTCAGTGTAGGCGCTTCCCGTTCTTTGGTATTTTCTCGATTCCGGCGATGCTCTGGATCCACACAGAGGCTAGGCCTGACATGGGCAACGCTGCCTTTGTGGCTTTCCTTGTTGAACCTATTGAATCTTTTTGGAAGAGAAGGATTTTCTTGGAAGAACTTCACTTCCAAGTGCGATGGTCCATTGCCATCGCATCATGGACCCTAGTCGTTCCGTGGCGAGCATTCCTGAGCTTATATACCTCCGAGTCGGCTTCCTACTAGATGAGAACAGCACCACTGCGGCAACCCGACAAATGTGAGTACCTGGGCAGCTTGGTTCCCTGTGAACAAAAACATATCAGGGTGTCCTGTACAGGGCATCCGTTGAGACTACTTGGGTTTCCTTTGGCTCTCAAGGCCATCGCGACTCCGAGACCTCCATCGCGCCTCGGCGTTTTGGTGTTGAGGGGCCATCACCCGTCATCGCGATGCCATTTGGGGGTTCCATGAAATCCACCAAGGGACGCTTGCACCAAATTGGACCGGGTACGACCTTGGCATATGTTCAATTAGCGCCTTTCATTTCCAGGTCCTTCGGGTGGGGCAGGGCTGCTCCCCAAAGAGCTGGGAAGCCGTGCGGGCACATGAGTCCGGGTTACTGTAGTTCGACAAATTCTACTTCGCCGTCTTCTGGCAGTGAAGACATGCTGGAGCTGAAGATAGCCCATGCCGATTAAATTTAGTCGATTTACAACTTATAACCATGAGGGAATCATGCCGTTTGTCCAACGGCGCGTTTGACCTTTTCTGACCCGCGCGGGCCTGTTGCTTGTCGAATGGTTCCATTTCGATCGAGGTAGAAGCCCCAAATAGGCATCACATCCATGATGGCTTCACATGAGCAGCCCGACAGGCAGGGGCCGATTCCCTGTCGCTTTGCAGTGGCTTTTTTAGGCTATTGTCAGCAAAAAGCAACTTGAGAATCCCATAAAGGTGCACCTTCAGGGAGTGAGGTCCCGTTTGGCTGGCTGAGGACTTGCCGGGTCGTCCCAGCTCACCCAAGCGAGCCGCCTCTGTGAAGAAGCAGGGGACCAAAGAGCAGTCAGCCGTGCGACTCGAGTTAGAACCGCACTTGCCCAACGCCCACCTATAGGTGACGGGACTCAGTTTGGTTCGTGTTTGGCTAACATTTGTTCTTGGTGCTTTGGGCACGTAAGTGACGCTGATTCAGTAACAGCAACCTGTCGATAACAAGTCGGCAGGATCTGACTTTGTTGTTTAAGTCATGGCGCCAAGAGGTATTTGCTTGCCATTTGACATCCTCGGTATGGGATTGAAAGCGAGTAGCGAGCACAATTCACGGAGGTAAGACCAGAAGTCGGGGCTGCATGATGACGACCATTCTATAGTGCAGCTCCCATTCTATTGAGGCTTCCATGCTTGAATGGCGTTCATGCATCCGTTCCTTCTCCCCTGTGTGGCTAAGTCTCATGACTTTGATTTGTTGACCTGCACACATGGCTTTCCCTCTCGAATCAGCACTTCGTGCCGCGTCATGGGAAGCACAGTAGGTACATTCATTAGATGGGTTCATTCCGTTTGGTAATCTGGCGAAAGCTGATGGCTGATGTCGTCGGGCCTTTTAGGCCTAGGGAGCTAAGCGAAAGCCTCAAATTGTAGCAATCTGCACATTCTCATGTTTGTTCTTTTCTTGTTGTTGTCGGATGTTCGCTGACACCAGGACACAAGTCCAAGCTTCAGAATACTCTTGGTGTTGACCTCTGGCTTGACCAAACAAAAATGCCAGTCCGCTCGCCAACTACATCGCTCAAAATAATTTATTGCAAGAGCCACAGTGCAGCGACGTCAAAGGGGGGTTGCAATCTCAAGGGTACAGGTTCCTTTCATAGGTGATCCTTAATTCGCTTCAAGAAACATGATTACTTCATTTGGACTTCTTTTGGCGATCCTTAGTTCGGTTCAGTAAGTATGTTTGTTTCAGCTAGATGAATACTTCCTGCGACTCGGCTGGGGGCCTGTTCGAGGCTCCGCATGCCAGAGCGATCGGGCAGCAAGGGCCCAAAGCAGGCCTGAATTTGTGGGGGGCCGTGGCATCGGGTGGCCCAACGTTTGCCGGAGATGAGAAGAGAAGGAACCCCACAAGAAAAA